GGTGAAAGCGAATGATGGCCATGTTAAAGGATTGGGAGTCGGATGTATGGCAGAAAGGACAACAGTTCTTTGAGAATTAAGATTGAAAGAGAATCGTGGTTAGCAATAGCCATGAGCTTATTAAGCATAAGTGGGAGATTGTTAGAGGTATGCTGTAAAAGCTCGGTTTTGCAGATTCTATCAATTCCATTTTGATCTGGCCATCATGTTTCGGTCAAAGTACATATGCTTGCAGTTTATTTATTTTATGCAATCATACTCCTTGTCTTACATTGAGATAGTGTGGTTCGAAGTGTTTCGAACAGAAAGATCGCCTATCGGTTCCTTGTAAAGACTAAACTATTTGTTCACAGTCTAGACAGGCAGTGAGACCCCTCTTGGATAAAGACTATAGTGTATTCTTGATTCAGTTGGTCTTTGATTGGAGAATTACACTAGCACTTATGATAAGTGTTGAACAGGACCATGGAAAGGATAAGATTATGAGACTTACTGATCGTTGTTGTAATCTAGACCTTCAGCAATTGATGCGTACTCTTAAGCTGTAAGATAATATAAAACGGGCATATGTATTCATTACTTATTTATTTGATTTATCAAGGGTGATTCCTATTTTATTAGGATGACATACTCGGTATTTTGGTAAGTAAGTGTGTTTATATGATGTGTCGTTATAAATTATTTACGGTCACTATGTCCCAGTGCGCTGGGTTGATGACATCCCAGAAATGAGCTCAGGAATGAATATTATGTCAAGCCCTGCAGGCGGATGTGTTCCGGCATAATGATTAAGGATCTGAGTGGTACTAGTTTCGGAAATGAATAAGAAGTTGATTAATTATTTTGTCAGTAATTTAATTAATCAACGGACGTTATATCTTAAACAGGGGGAGATAAATCGATTAGTGAGATTAATATATTTAATCAGTGGAAACGAATTAATTGTAATTCGGAGCTAAATGGGGAGAACAATAATATTACTCTAGTGGAATGTTCTATTATTTAATTCCAAGATTAGGAATTAGGAATTAATTATATTCTATAATTTAGATTCTATTAGGAGAGGAATATTCCGTCTAGATTATTACCTAAGGTTATGAGACTTTGGAGTCTTCTTGAAGGTAATGAAGGTTAGGAGGAATAGGACTTCTAGATGAAAAAGGAGATAGAAGATAATAAGTATTCCTAAACCTTAAGGAATAAGCCCATATTTAGCACCTCCCTTAGGTCCTTATTGTAGCCTATAAATACACAAGTCCCCTAACCTCTTGGAACATGTTTTACACGTTTTTCTCCCCGAAGGGCTGGAAAAATTCGGCCTTTTCAAGCGAGAAAGAAAGAGAGAGATTCTTCTACGAAAGAAAAATTCGGTTAGCACCGTAAGGTTTATTAGAGAAATCTAATAAATCTAATAAATCGCTCCACCAAGATTTATTAGAGATTGTGTAAAGGTCATACAATAGAAGATTTGAAGGTTGTTATTCGAATCCCGTCGAATATATACATACGTCCAACTTGTCGGAAATATTCCCAGAGTCCACCAATTATCGCGCCAGGTGCTATTCCTTTTCTCGTGCGCGTGTCCAGTCTTCCAGCTTTTGTCCGCGCCCAGAAATCCATTCGCCCATGTTCTTAAGCATGAACCCAAGTCCATTGCCGCAACCAAGCGTGTGGCGCAGTGGTCTTCAGCGTGCTATTCTGTGGGCGAGGTCGCGGGTTCGAACCTTGTTATAGCCATTTTTATTTTGCTCTAGGCGCACGGGCTTCTTAGCCTGCATTAGGCCCGCGTACGGCCCGCGCTTCTCTCTGAGTCCAGCCCGCGTGTAGGCCCGATCCTAGCCTGCGAAGTAGCCCAGCTTGGCAGCGTGTCTTCTCGGCCCAAGCGAGTGTCTTCGCGGCCCAATACCTTCATGCACGTGGCCCAGCAAGCAAGATCTGTCCAGAAACGTCCTAGTGAGCCCAGTCCGGTCCAACTTGCACCAAATCGGTCCAACATGTTCCAGAAGCCCCGATTTGCGTCCAAGATGGTTCCCGAGCGGCCCGAGGAGTCCGACTCAGTTACCGAAGGTCTGATACGATCCGATGAGCTTGATGAGTGATTGTAGCACCTTGATGACTCGATTAGAATCGAGAAAGGCCAAGTCTAGCTGTCCATTAGACTTTGGTGGTCAGACGATCTCCATCAACGGAAATCAGAAACGTCGCAGAGTCGGCAAAAAATTTTAAACCGTAAGTCCTAATCGTAACTATAGATTCCGCTGCGTTAGGGTATATTATTCAATAGATTTGAATGTGCACATTGGTGACGTTCCTAATAGAACCCAACAGAAGGCAGGGTCGAAGGGGTCGAGCTGGTGAGGATGAGAGAAGCGCAGTCTCAGACGATGTGGTATGGAGGTGGGAAGGCTCTAAGGTTTGAGTAAAGAGAAAGGAGGGGGGGGGGAGCCTCAATACGCAGTAGGACGATAGGGGGATCTAGGTCCTCAACTAGTAGGTCGTCGTCATCGAAAGGGGAGCTGGTCGAAGCTCCTAAGTGGTCATAGGGAACGTGAATCTCCTCCTCTGTCTCTGTGTCAAGCATAGAGAAGCGAGAGTGGGTAGCCATGGGGGCTGTCTGAAGGGACTGGTGGGAAAAGAGGACTGTAGCTCTAGCCCTAGACCTATCCAGGTTAGCCTCCTTGGGTCGGATGACCTCAGAGGTGACCTTGCCCTTGCCCATTTGCCCCTTCGGGGACTCTAGACCGTGGGCAGGGGCCTTGACCTTTCCTTTAGGGCTTCCCGGGCCAGCAATAGGGCCCTGCCTCGCTACGCGCCGACGAGGGGGCAGATCAGGTCAGGGCTTGTGGCTCCTAGTGTAACATTCTGCAGCCCATGTCCGACATGGCTACATAGGGTGCAGAACGGGGGAACTCTCTCATAGACCACTTTTTGGATAGTGGTCTTGTCCGCTTGGTCGAGCTCAATCTCCTTGATGAGCTCGTCCCTGAGGTCAATCTCCACGCACACCCGTGCGACAGATAATCTTGACCGGTTCGCCATAGCAGCGTCAGTCTCAATGGGGTTGCCAATGCAGCTGACAATCGAGAAGAGGGCAGAAGGATCTAAAAGGTGTGGTAGGAGGCCTGGGAGGCAGCACCACACCAGTACGATGGGAGATTCCTCAAGAAAGGAAAAGTCAAGGGTGTATTTGAACACCCGACCAGAACAACCGAAGATATTAAGATGCGTCTAAATCCAAACCTGATTATAGTCCTCTTTCAGCTCAAAAAATAGTAAATAATGATTATAATTAAGGAACTTAGGAGATACTCTACCCTTGAAACCCAATTTGACCAGACCGACAGACAAATCCCGGAGGGAAGGGACAGTGAAGGAGAACTTCAAGATAAGTGCATTTTCAAACGGCCCGGCTAGGGAAGAAATAGTGGGCTCAGGGAGCTTACCTTGAACCGGCCCTCCTCGGAGCGAGAAATAGTCCCGCTCTGCTTGTCCCGAAAAGGCTCCAACATCAGTCTCTGTGACTCGGTTTGGCGGTGGGTGTGCCAACAACCGCATCTCGAAAGGAACGTGCTCCAGTGGGCGTGGGCCCTGGTTCGCTGGTTGGGGGGAAGGTGGCTGGGCTCGGCCCTTGGGCAGCGGTGCCTCTTGGCGGCTGCTCGTTGAGTTCCATTTTCGGCGGGGAAGATGAAGATGAGAGGGGAGTGTGGCCTAGTATGCCTGCCGTAAGCGAAGAGTCTGAGCCCTTGCCGGAGTTGGAGATGGACGAGGTGTGTAGCTTGAGCTCTGCGGGAGAGGAAGCAAGGCCGAGCTGGGAGGATTCCGGCGAGGCGGCAAGCGACGGGGCGAAAAAGGAACCTGCGTGAGGGAGAGCCCCGCCCGTCTGAAGATGACCGTCGCCATCGCCAGAGTCGGAGAGGAGACCGCCGTCCGACGTCAGGGGAGGGGAAGTGGTGGTCACCGACATCTGGGTCGACGTTGCAGGTAGGCGTCTATGAGGAAGAAGGTGCTGTTTGGTCCTGTTGTGATAGAAAGTCAGAGGTGGCCTGAAACATTGGGCCTGGGTAGGACGTGTGGAGTATTTTAGTAGGTTGAGGAATTGGGGAGAGAAGGGGGTTGGGCCAAGGCACGGCCCACATTGAGAAAGCAATGGATCTGAATTGGGCATTGGGATAGGCCCAATATGCCGGCCCGCATATAAGCTGAGGGAGGTTGCGAACGGATAAGGTTTAGGTTTAAGGAGAGGCTAATTTCTGACTGCGAGCTGGGAGGAGAAGTTGACGGAGGGGGAGCAGTTGTCGTCGGGAGTGAGCCAAACTGAACCGGCCAAGGGGAGTGGTTACCAGCAGCTTGGTCGGCTGGGATGCCGGAATCGGTAAATGAAACGGAGCTTGTCGGGAAGGAGACCGCCACTACGACGGCGTTATTACATACAACGACGGCCCAGTAGGGGGTGGAGAGGCGCCGGGACGAGATCCACCGTGGACCGGATGGCATCCTGTTCGATGTAGGTGAAGGAGGTCTGTAGTTTTTACGGTTGACTGAACGACAGATCTAATGGCTTTTTTGAGGTTGTTCTTCCATGAGATGAGCTTACGGGCTACGCCCCCGAGGGCCGGCGGGTCGCCGCCGGCGTCCGTGCCGTCGGCGACGACGGACGCCGACAAGGTAGCTGGTAGAGGTGGTCGGAAAGGTAAAGGATGAAGAT